TAACGTTTTGCAGGGTATGCTTTCTTTGTTCCCATTGATCCATAAAGTGATCTTTATGATGTCAACATAACAGTTGTACGATACACTCTTTAAGGATCTTTACTATCTCTCATCATTTTATTCTTCCATCCATTCTCACTATCTGCCCATTTCTGGGCTTTCAATTTCATATTTAAATATGCTTATTAGAGATATTTAATGATTGAATAATCCGTAACAAATAATTGAGGAAATTGCCGTTGCCTATAATAGTGGGTGACAGAAAGTCTATTTTTTTTGTTGGAGCCTGTGAAAAGTTATTCTTTTGATAAAGCCGAATAACGGATCGATATTCAGTTCGAACTGATAGTAGGTTGAATGAGATGGTCTAACGCTGGTATGTTGCTGAGCCTGTTCTCCAAAAGTTACTGTGTCGACGTAAAATCGCGCCATTATTGGAAGACGTGTTGTATACTAAATGACTGGACATCTTGTTCACTACCGGAACTGAATTATGGAAATGAAAAAAGTGGCACAATTTATGAGAGATATACCCATTCGAATGAGTTGCATGAGTGAATCCAGTTCCTTTTCCCATGTTCTTCTTTTTTCGGAAACTACCACCAGTCGTCATTTCATTCAAGTCATCATTTTTGTAACTTGTTTGTGAAATGGAAAATGTATCAGATGGGTGCAAGAGGCATCTTTACTCTACACTCTTTTTTTTGTAACGTATGCATTTCTCTTTTGTGTCTGTACTCTGAAAAAGCTTCACTTTTTTGACCTTGAACGATAGGGACACTTTTCGGGAGATTTGTCAGTGTCACTTTTACAACTGGACAATTTTTACACGAAAAAATGGTTTTGCAATTCAAATGCTCCTTTTCTCACTGAACAAAAAACGGAATTCCCCTTCTTTCACGCTCAATAAGGAAATTTTTCAGGGATCAGCAAAAGATATCTGGGCAGAAGTACATGAGTTAAAGAACATTCCTGTTGCAAAGAACCGTACAAGTCGTCAAGCCGGTTACGGAAGCGCTGACATTGGTGTCAGTGGTGGTCAGGCAGCGCAAGGAGGTGCATGCGATGCATGCTGCTTACCAGGAGCAGCGGGACCACCAGGTCCACCTGGCAAACCCGGTAAGCCAGGTAAACCCGGAGCTCCCGGCTTACCCGGCAGCCCTGGTAAACCACCGAGTCAACCTTGTGAACCGGTCACACCACCACCGTGCAAGCCCTGTCCGCCAGGACCACCTGGACCACCTGGACCTCCTGGACCACCTGGAGATGCTGGTGAACCAGGAGCACCAGGCCGACCTGGAGCAGATGCACCACCGGGCGAGCCTGGACCGAAAGGACCGCCAGGGCCAGAGGGAGAACCGGGACCGCCAGGACCACCAGGAGATGCAGGAGCACCTGCGCCTAGCGAGCCTCTCATACCCGGAGAACCTGGACCACCTGGTTAGTTTTTTTTCGTTTTCGTTTGTTATCAGGAAGTAGTGCAAAAAGACATTCCAGAAAAATATATGCATATATTATCTGCATACCCAGAAAATATATTTCAAGTGTTCGTTTTAGAAAATGATTTCAATAAATGATGCTTCAGGAGAACCAGGAGTACAAGGACCACCCGGACCACCAGGACAACCAGGCAGCGACGGTGCGCCAGGTCCAGCCGGACCAAAAGGACCACCAGGACCAGATGGTCAACCGGGAGCAGATGGCGCACCAGGACAACCAGGACCGCCAGGACCACCAGGAAGTCCGGGTGAAAAAGGAATCTGTCCAAAGTATTGTGCCATTGATGGTGGTGTATTTTTCGAAGACGGTACTCGTCGTTAAGTGGGTTGTTAGAATGTATCACTCGATGTCCTCATCCTTATACCAGACTGCCATTTTGCCAATTTGTCACCTAGTTCTATCAACAACGACCAAATAAATTTTCCACGTTATGTTTGTTACACGCTAAGCTAAAAGTGTATTAAGCGATGATGAGGAGAATTAATGGTAAACCAATCTTAATCAGAGAATGTACTGAGAGAGTTGTCGATGTAATGCTTTAATCGTGAATCGGTTGGACCAGTTAATCATTTAAAAAAACCTTTATAAAATAGGAAACATAATTCTGAGACGAGAACATCCCTTCTTCCCATAACTTGAACTATGAAACATGAAACCACATATTTCGCAGCTTGATAAACTTTATTATAATTATAAAACCAGTGTGAACTTAAAACTTAGAAAACTCGAGGATCGATAAAAACACAGGTTTCGAGACGCTGCTTTGTTGTACCGCAAAGCTGTATTCGAGTGTATGCCAAGATTTCGATTTCCAAAAACTCATGACTAAATTTACAAAACTAATGTTAAAAAACACTCGCTAAGCCGTGCACAAAGAAAGAGACGACCATTTTACAAACGGTTTTTTAGTCGTCATAGTTAAATATTTCAAATTATTCAATTTTTTTAACGATAATGATTTTACGAACCATCGAAGAGCATCACAATGTGGCTTCTAATGGAAGAAATGTATTTCCACTTTCCTTGGAATTCCCACGCCTTTTAGATAGCTTAATTACGCTACCAGTTTTATCTCATTTCAAGTACGACCACAAGAACTTACACTCTAATCCTTTAAACCACGACCCACAAAAGTCCCCCAGGCTGTAATCGACTGTCGACAACGTAACCAAGTAATTAATTGTCCATAAAGCTGTAAAAGCAAACAGTTGTCAAATAAGGGCGGATATGATCCATGGGGACCTGGACGCAAGATGAGACAATGCTGCGGCGTGAACTTGTCAAAGCGAAGTGCTGGAGTACAGCAAGACTAATGGAATTTTCGGGACCTTCCACTGCACATAAACTGCTGATGCATAGTAACGATTAGCAACCAGCTGAAAATTTTTGGTGGGTCAACGAAAGGCACAAAATCCTTTCTTTTATCTACGTGGGATTATCAATTAAACTAAAGCAACATTCCGCTCTGTACTGTAACATCCTTTCGAAAAACAAAAAAAAAAAACTCCAACCATACCCGACAATCAGTTTAAAAATTGTTTTCTTTATGCCTATTTCAAATAAATCATTGAATTCTAGCCAGCCAGTTAATCAAACAGAACATAAAAACCATGGTATTAACATTGGAAACCACGCTGCTCTTAACATTTTCTGTATTAGGTCAAATCATTCTGACATCGTTTGCAATACATAATAATCGCATAACCGTATAAAAAGGATGAGAACTACACATATTCGTCCGAAATCATGAAACAATCTCCTGTAATCCTAGAACCGATGGGTACGTTAGATTTTTAGAAAAGAAAACCAAAATCGCTGTTAATAAATTTGGTGTTCAGGTCGACAATACACACTGCAATTCACATGAAACGAAATATTAGACAATAAAGATATTAAAATAATGAAATATACCGGAAAAATAGCTTTAAAATAAACGGAGAGATATGTAAAGACAAACCATCAATATTTCGTAAATTAAAAAATCACAATTTCCTAAATGAATAAAGAAAACATATAAAAATTCTTTTGCGAAAAATAGATACGGAAAAGGCTTGCACAATCGAAACAAAAACAACAGCAGTTCAGATGACATTAAAAACGAAATTTTCAAAATATCTTTGAGCAGTTACAGATGAAAATGAATTTAAAAAAAAACATTGACAAGCAAGCGGAAACTAATATTTTCGTTTTAGACGTTTTTATTAATAATAGCCTGTATATGACCAATTCCTACAATCCAGTAAGCGGAAAGCATTGTCACAAGCCATAAAAATCTATCTCCAAGTCCATCTGACTAGAGCACTCGCAATACCGGCCTACCACCCATCAGCCAAATATGTAGCCTATCTTTTCAGAGGCCAAAAGTGACCACTTTTTTTTTATTGTATACAACTCGGTTATAGAAGGTTTTTACGCGAATAAATCGATGCTGTCTTCCTAAAATTAGAATCCTACCATTAACAATTAATTTTGAACCACCACTCTACTTTATCATCAGAAAACTTCACTTCAGAAACGATGTTTCGGAATTTAATCTAGTAATAATATTAGCGTGAAACAGACAGTAAAAACAACAAACACCCTTATGGCCTAAAAATGATGAGCAAAATCAGAAAATGGAAAATTTTAAACAGATAGCATCAAGAGTTCTTCGTTGACAGCATAGCGCTCTCTTCTGAGTGCACTGCTAGTCGCTGCGGATACAAAAAAAGAAATTTTGATGCCTCGAAACGAGGCTAGATACATTAAAAGATATAAATGATATAATTTATAGGAACTATAAATTCAGCTATAACTACAAGACACATTTCCTGACTACAAAAAGACCGGGTGCAGTTTAATACGTAAAATTATACACAATAATAGAATAAAAACAACTCCTTCGGTCAGCAGATGAAATAAATGGATTCACGTAAAACTGTGAATGGGATCATTAGGACCAGGGATCTGGCTTAGAACACGATCGAGCTTTTGTAACGGTATGGCTAAATGAATTTCCACCCAACAGGGTGTTGACGTTATCGTCTGTCGTTTGTATTGCTCACCCCATCCTTTCACAAAACTTATTCGCATATGGCACATTCTCTAAAAAAAGGAGAAAAAAAACAATGCGTTAAGCAATGGTTTGCGAATACCGTTTCTTCTAACAAGAACCAACCACCGTAGCCTTTATCTCGAAAGAAAACAACACAATTTACCTTGTATCTATTTATGGCTTACAACTAACAACAACAATTTTAATTATAAAAGGAAAGCAAACCTGTAGGGAATAGACGGCATGGAAACCTTGGCTCGTTGATTGAGCTAACAAAGTTTCAAATGATTCGTTATCAAAAACTTGCATAATATGTCCTGCAAATGATTACATAACCATTGTAAACGTATCTTCAAATGAGACAGCTTTTGTACAAAAACTATGGATCACCGAGAAATTGTTATCAAAGATATCATCACTAGTCACATATCCCGTGGAAATGATTATGTTCGGAGACTCAAATCACTCCGAATTTTTACCATATGGCGTGAAACTTCCACTTTTACCTGATGGCAGTCTATAAACGGTAGCCGGATGATCATGAGATTTCACAGCGTGTATTGGACTTTGAATGAACACCGGTGCTTCACTCAGACATTCTGCGTAAACATCGTCATCTTGACGAAAAATCCTAACACCACGTCCTAAAAAAGTAAATGATAATTGTTCCTTTCGAGTTTAAAATGAACTATGAATTAACTTCTTATGCCTTGAGGTTAAGAATTCAAGTTATTCAGAAGCAGAAATGCTTACCAATCTGACGTCTAGCATTCACAACTCCGGGATTTCTATTAACATTAGCCAAAGCTCCCAAACAGAACCTTTCTGCTTCAGATGGTGCGCAAAAACCATCAACAATGACATGAGAAGTGCCCCCTTTGAAAGGCTCACCGATCTGAATTCAACTCTTATGTCCACTTTTCAAGGGATTAAAAACAATATGAATGTGAAAACGGATTTAATCACCAAAGTTCGATTTTCAAATAAAACTTTTAAGATGGAGAAAGCAATGTCATAAGACAAACTCGCTGATTAAGTTCATAGTAATAAGCATGACACCACGCTTCTGGAACTGGTGCCGCGGGTGGATAATCCTTCACATTGACTGCAACATCCGATGGCTAGAATTGAATAATTTTGACTGTCTAGAAATATTTAGAGGACGAGGATGAACAAAGACAAACGCTGATAAATTACACAAAAAAACAAAAAACAAATTTCATTTTTACCTTGGGCCGAATATGAGGTTGTATTCGTGGTCTCTGACTTCTCATGTACAATATCTGAGCAAGTGAATTTTGACTGTTACCGGATGCAGATGCATTATGAGGTGGCACTGAATAACTTGAGTCTAAACAGTAGATTTGTATGAATGAAGTCCACAAAATACTCCGCATTCAACAATAATTTGGATTGACATTTAACATTTAACAATGAATGGTAGTTACTGAAACTTCATTCGTGGGTGGGCAACAATCAACTACTTGAAGTGTGATAATGTGAGCCCATGTACATTCATGTGCACCATATCGTAGTAATAGAAGTGCTATCACTCACAGATAAACACCATTGAATGACCGAAGATCACAGTAATCTTAGTGCAAAAAGTACAGCGTCAATCTAATATTATAAAACGATACACCGTACTTCCACTTATCGGTGTTATTTGTTGTGTTGAGTATGAAATGCAATTTCCCTGCCCAGCTGGTAAGCGCGATACTGTTGACGTACATGCTGAACGGCCTTGTACAATTCCTTCTTGCTGTTGCAGCTGACAAAAACAAAGTATAAAAAAGATTACAAATAACAAAGTTCACCGGACAGACGGAAACTACTCCAAAAACTTACATCTTGCATAGGTGTACTCAATTCTTGCAGTGTCTGACCAGAACACTCAGAAACAGTGCAGTTCAGTAGCTGACTATTGGCACCAAAATAATAAACTGAGCCCATCGTTCCTGCTTCCGCTTTCGTCTGAACATTGGTGGTTGTTTCACCTAAAAGTGTCATTGGTACTTTCCTGCTTAACGGTATAACTAAATTCGCCATTGTTTCGCTAACTGGTAGAAATTCTAATAGAAAACCGATTTCATTTCTTATATGAAATTAAAAAACAACATATGCTTACCTATTTGTTCCTGATAATCCATTGTAGTAGACGATGACTGCTGCCCCGAATCTCCTACTTCAACTGTAGAAAGCAGATGCCAAGTCTGTTGAGCTGGGACTGCCTTATTCGGGTAGCAATTAGATGAGGATGATGGTGTGCCACACATCTTTTCGTGCAAGTACGACTTTGTCTCGTTGTTAGCACGAGTCAGCAAATCCATTCAAATACCAAGTTCTTAAATAATCAGTTGCTTTTTCACTATATAATACAGAAGATAAACTTTTTTTCAAAGAGAAAACTTGACCAAAAAATGTGCGGTGTATCGGTACATCCTGATGGATTCATGAATTTTGACCCATCCTCAAAATCCTTGTTAGTCATAAACGATTCTCTAAGAATGCATCGGAAATCACCACCATGCACTATTTTATTGCTCGTTTTCTAATTACAAGTTAAGCCAAGGAAAAAGCCACTATAGGAGACCCTGTCTAAAAAACCCTGTTAGTTCTGGTATTCGTACTTTCCTGAGGAAATTTTGACACAAATCTTTACATTCAAAGCTGCCAACTCATAATTCGAGACATAACGAGGCATAACATAATAGGAAATAAGCTCGTTTTTCATAATATCTACCTACACTTGCTTTCTTTTTCCTCCTACTTCCCCGACTTTTGATAATAAATCATCGTAGATCATAAAATTAGAAAAATTCCGAGTGGACAATGAAGAAGTCACAAATGCATAATAAAGGAACATAGAGATACAACATAAATGCATAATAAAGGAACATAGAGATACAACATACATGTGACGAGTTTCAACAGATTTTTTTTTAGGACAGTAGGTGGTATTGGAGGCATGGGAACAATCATACATTTGCGGGGAACAATGTAAATGAGATGAGCGAAAAGCCAGCAACTACTGTTATATGAGTCTATATGGTTGTGAGGAGAAAGTTGTATGCACAAGGAAATGACGATGCCCGCAAACCATATACACACATCCACCATCCAAAACTTACACAGCTAATTCTTTTCCCTTTCCTCTTCTCTTTAACCCACTTACGGAGACATACCTTTCCTAAGTCCATAGAAATTTTATGAAATCTGATAAGCAAACCAAAATATGAAAATAACAACGTATTTAACACAACAGTACTAAAGCAAATGTTTATATATATGGTAATCCTTTTTCAAGAGTAAGACTTGTGGCAATCGATTAAATGTAGAAATCCCTTTATTGCTTCTAAAATTATTATAAATTACGTGGGTCCCGTAACTTGAACGAATGTCTGAATATCTGCGTGAAAGTGTACATAAATTGGAAGGCAGAGGGATATTTTACGTGTGATTATAAAATAACTAGATCGCATTATCATACTATTACAACTACCACTCAACCACAAAATTAAAACGACCTCAAAAATTTGGCCTCACAATTAACTTCTTTGAATTTGAACAATGACAGCTACCATATAATAGATCCTTACTGATATGGAAATTTGATCTTTTGTCCCAGTATTAAACTAACTGTACCAATCAGAGAGAAATAACTTTTCATTTATGCTAAATACTTTTGTGTTAGAATCCAAACAAAATATATTTAGCATAGAACAGTGATCAAAGGCTACTTCAATTACTCCAGCAAAACCTGTAGTCAGTTAAATGAGAAGTTCCATACGACAGTTTCGGATTACAACGAAACTGTAAATAATCCGCCTTACATATCAGAGAAACACTTATACTCAATTCCAAAAAAAAAAATTCTTTTTTTTTCGCAACTACGCCTTAATGGTGCAATTTTTTGCAAATCATTTGCTTGTACTAGATACTACAATCTAATAAAGTTTGTTCTGAACAGCTCCACTGCGGTGATCTGACGCTACCGCCAAAAGGCTTTAGTATTCAATGACTGGAGCGACAATTACGAGAAATCGGGTAATTCTAATTAGTTGAGAAGTAAATGGAAATTGGCAAGGATGCGAGCAGCTTATACATAGAAAATAAACTGTTTAGCGAAAGGCTTCGGATACGTACAAAAATATGTTGTCAATCATGAATCTCTGTAATCTGTGCACCGCGGACTACAATTTCAGTAATGGTAAAGTATTATGATCACAATCCCATTAATAGCAAAGAATTGATGAGCTGAGCAAACTCAGATGTAGCCAAACAATTTTTCAATGTTGCCTAAATTTGAATAAACAAAAGCGGAACATCCAGAAGAATTTGATCAAACAACAGCAAGCACCCCGTAATCTCATTTTAAAATGTCAAACCTTTTTTTAAGCTGGTAGATTACTGAAATGTAGCACAGCTTAAAGAAAATGACGGACAAGTTCGTCATCAATATTTCAGTACGCTAACAGTTTCTACGACCATGACCAACATATAATAAATTTCTTCATAAAGTACTTACCTAGGAAGCTCAATAAGCTTCCAGTAAATTTTACGTAAGCAAACAATATGGCGACCGTTATAATATTGCCGATTTTTTTGATTCCTCAAGATTCATTAATTGACATACATACTAAAAAAAACCATTAAAAAAGCATAATGATTGGAACATACCTTCAACTCTATGACGCAGAGTACCGATTGTAAGACCACAACCTCTTGACTATTGTGCAAGCAGAAAATCCTGGAAAGAACGCGGAAATACAAGAAGGTTGCAGCAAAAGTGACAAAGAAAGATTACACAGCAACAGTTTTAATGATCACAGGCAAAAGAAAAAATTCTTTTATTTTAGTATCAGGAATGACAAAACGATGCAGTAAATTAGAAGCTAGAAAGATGGGTACACAGTAACGGTAATTGCAATGGTTCAAAAAGAATAAAGTTGGATTAAAATATGGCTGGAATCAGTCACTGGTAAATTACAATCTACAGAAACTAAATATATTGAAAAAATTGAACAGAATACAACAAGAAGATTTGTACTTCATTCGTCGCTTTCTAGGCAAATATTTCGTGAAGGAGAAAAACAATGTCGCAAAGTGACCTACTAAAATGCGAAACATCAGTACTCAACGACCAAAAACACATGCAGTTCTGGCGGCATATCGAAAATGAATTGAATTCAGCCCACACTAATTATTATATCAAAGGTATAGTGACATTACTGATGAAGACACTGCTGACGAAGATTATTAAACTGGTGAAATCATCCAACTGCTTGGAATGAAATCACTGGGATATGGGCAAATTACTGATGGGCAACCGGAAATGTCCAATTATGAGAAAAATAAACAATGAAATATAGAGAACAGAAAGTGGATTACCTAATTAGTTGAAATATCAAATTTGATTGTTTGCTTTGAGATATTTACAGCATGATAACCGTTGTACGACTGCAAACGATAACATATAGAAACTTCGACTTACCATTACGGTGTCGAAAACTTAACGTTGCAACTCGACCTTTCGGATCAGTACGTATGGACGACAAGGTTTCAACATCGTGTTCAGTTCACACCTAAAATGTATGAACAACGAGCAACAATATTTGTTGATGAATTTGCGAGATTTGTCAGCTAGATTTGTCGCAGTTATGTTCTTTGTACTCTTGATTCAGCAAACTTGAGCGCTATTATCTTTCTACCCAACCCAAATGATCAATTAGTTAACTTTGACTTTTTTCAGACCAGGTTTAAGATATTTCCTCGTACTGTTAATTAGTGCTGCTTCGACAAATACGAATACAACAAGTACGACAAATACGCAAACAGCACAGCTAAAACCCACGATCCTCTCCAATGCTCTCTATCACACATATCGATAATATGCTGAAAAAGGATTGAAATCAGGCAGGAGACCTGTAACTTCCTATATGTATTCATGTCACAGTTTCTTTTCCACGTACGAAAGTTAATCGCGGTGGTACAAAGTATATACGAATATGCATGATGCATGTAAACAGCTTTACGCACACATTTGTCCGTGCAACTAACGCATACGCAGACGTAGAGAACCACGAACGCAATCAATTAACATAATGGAACAACGAGAGAAAGAACAGCAAAATTCACAATAAATGGTGTAACCAACGAGGAATAAGATACGTGAGCTTGCCTTATTATCACAAAATACCTTCTGAATCCTGTCAAGATATGATGCAGACGTGGGTTAATATCTTGTTCAATACTGCATGCCCCGAGGGTTGGCGGTACAGGTAAAGTGCGCTGGTAAAGGGGAAAAAGTGAAGAGGATGAACATCATGCAGCTTCATGCTTGCGAAAAAAGACATAGGTGAGAGCTGAGATAGTGCGGTAAGAAGAGAGATGCGGGGAAGTTACACATTCATCGCATATATGTTTGCATATCTGTGAGTGCGTGTCAGAGATGGAAAAAAGCCAAAATAGTTGGGTTGCAGCCAGTAATGTTTCAAGAATCTTTAAGAACGAGAGCAGCTTAATTATTGTCTGGACTGTCGAAAGTTGATGGTTTGCGGTGACGCCATCGGAGAGAAGGACCAGAAGAATGGTTGTAGATTACTTGGAAATAGCCTGTTCGGGCTACGGACGCATCATCTACATTGCTACATTGTTCAGTCATTCTATTTCTAGGGATTATCAGAACGAGCAACCGGACAGTGCTTCTCCTAATCTCATTCAACACGGTTTCTAATCCTCCAGTTTCTGACTTAACGGTCTAAGAATACCTTCATTGCAAGAATTTGTGCAGTAACCATCACATCGTCAAACTGGACATTTTCATCAAACAGTACATTTCTATACACCAAACTACAAACTGAAAAAAATAATATTAGGTTAAATAATTATTCTTAACTTGAAAGTTATATTAAATGAACTTGATAATTTGTGATTTTGAAATATTCCAAAAGATTCCCCTGTTTACCGGAAGATATCTCGTTATCTACCTTGAAATTTACACACCATAACATGCCGCATATGGAATTAAGTTTATCTTATTGAACCCTATTGTGTCGTGAAAAAAAAAGGTGAAGGAGATTGTTTTTGGTCGTTGAAGAAGCAGTTAAGTTTTAAAGGAATGACTTACAGAATACCGGTATTGTTGTGTGTTCGAAACGTACAACAGTTTATCCTTCATTGTTGTCCGGATACCAAATTCAATAGAAATGAGTTCGAACTAATTCTAATTACAATAGAATGACGTCCAGATTAATAACAGTAGAACAATGGGAGAAATATGTAAGTAGTAATTAGTGAACTGGGAGAAATAAATGAAGTGCTGTGTGAAGTTAGTGCCGACTGATGGATTCAACAATGAAAACATGTTGGAATTTCTTATGGTTAATATAAGGAATGTGTGAAGAGGATCATAACAAATTGACACTATTCTCACAGCTGCCAGGGAAATCTACATATCCTTATTAATTTATATTAAAAACAAGTGACTTCAATCACAATATCCTTTGTTTAGATTTTGGCCAGATAAAGGAATTCTAAAACAAAGAAATGCGATGCTTAACAGAAATCCAGAAATGTGTCATTGAATATAAACATGGTTATGAGGTTAGATATCTCTACAGTATGTCCATCAATGTGCATAAGCTCTGCTGTCATCCAGCTACTAAAGATCAAAGATTACGAGTATTTTGATTATCAAATGGCTGTCCTATATCAAAATATTACAGGAATTGGATAAATGATTCATTACTTGATCTGCATAGTGCAGTTGAAAATTTGATTGTAATTTTTGTGCAATGAATCACTTATCGAAAAATGATCTAAACAGGACAATGTTCAAGATCCAAATTTGTGATGCACATACTTTGATTGTTTTAACGAATTATAAATTTTTTTTCTCGGTTTTTGCGACATATTGTTGCAATTCATGATTGGAACGAATTCACTATTACTGTTGGAACTATCAAGGCAGCTTATTTAGTAGTACGTTTGCTTTATTTATTAACGGCTATGAACAAATGAAAAATAACTGTGAAGTTCGTGACTGCCTTCGTCAGTATCATGTACCGATAAGTAACACTAAGTTGACCTCCATGAAGTGCAGTTTTTTTTCTTTTTTTCGTATTGGCTTCTTTGTTGATCAGAAAGCTTTATGATATCCTGGAACATACATTTATAACCTAATGAAATATTGAACGAAACTATCATACGATACCGTCAATGAGAAACAGTTCGTCGACATGGATAAGAAGAAGGGTAAAGAAACCTTCGGAACTTGTGTGCTCTTGTCACTGATGATAGATATTAAGGTCATCACTGTATTGCTTCTAAACTTCATTCCTGTGTCGTAACTTATAGCTTCATGGAGAAAAATTGAGGATTTTTCTTCTCTTATCCTGTCTTTCTCTTATTCCTTCCCGTATTTGAACACGATGAGTTCACTTTAGTTTCTGTGGGAGCCATCAGGTCCAGTATTTTCCGGTTTTATTCATGTGCTTCAACCATCCTTCTTGCTACAACCGGTGGATTCTGTTGTCTAAACATATTGAACCTCATCGTTTGTAATCGCTAGCAGCAGCACTGTCCGTCTAATGAACTACTTTGTTTGGAAGTTCTATTGATCTTTGATCGAGGAAGGGAAGCGGAAAGTAGAACAGAACAACATTTACACCTAGTAGGTAGGTATATGTAAGCTTCGTTTGCATAGCTCTTTACAGATACTTCCTTCTCATTCTTCATTCTCCAACCTTCCTTAGCATTTCTACCTCAAGTCTGTTGTTATCCCTTGTTTCACTTCTATTGCTCTTCTTCCCGAATTTCATTTTTTTTTAAAGACATTTGATCCTTCAGCAACTCTTTCTGATATGATGGATGTTTTTGATCGTAAGCGATTTCCTTTTCCAGCAGCTAGTAAGTTTTCCTTAGAACTTTTTCTTCGGGGATGTGTCTTGTCCCGCTTCAACATTATCTCAGTTATTGCCATACCTTCGATAATATATTTAAGACAAAATTATATGAAAGCGTTCTGCGACAAAATTTTTCCCCGAAAATAATTTAGAAATACTGTGTCAGAATATTCATTTTTTTTTTCTGCTACAACTACAGTTGGAAGTATTTTTCTCGAAGCTATCCTCCTTCTTGACTTCCATCTCTTTTTTATAGAAAAAACTTGAGAATTTCCAGCGGAAAGCTTTGCTTGACTGTTTATTTGCGGCAAACAATTCAAGTTAGACCTAAGTTTACACATTGGATGAAAAAATGTTTTTCCAAGTATAGCAATTTTAAACTTTTGAAAACCTACCCGATTGTTTCAAATGCTTGAAATTAAGGTAAACTTCTTATGTTAACACTTTCTATATGTGACAATCAGAAAACAGCCTCTATTTCTGTTTCACCGTTTCGCCATTTTCCCTCGAAAATAATTTAGAAATACTGTGTCAGAACATTCTTTTTTTTTTCCGTTACAACTGCAGTTGGAAGTATAATTAATATATCATGACTATAATAATAATCAATATATCATGACTATAATAATAATCAATATATCATGATTCAATATTTAATTTTAATAATTGTAATAATTAATATATCATAATTTGATAATTAATATCATAATTTAATTGTCCAGAAAGCTTATATTCTAAATGTTTTAGTAGTCAAATGATTCAGTCTAATAAATTGAAAATGTCATTGGTGATGTGCCCATTCTCAGTTTTTGTTTGGATTACGCTTTGATATTAAGTGTCTATCTCAACTAGTTGTCATATGCTAGCTCAGGATTTAGTGATCAAACTCGAGACAATAATTGATAAACGATCAAAAAATTAGACTATTACACGTGTGATTGTTCTTTCATGCCAATGAAAGTAGTATTGCGCATGTGTATAGGAGAAAAATTAGTTGAAAATTGCTTAGGGACTGTTCAATGAAGCGGAAAGAACACTATCGTAGGAAGAACAGGCTTTAGATTCTTGTATCT